ATAAACAAGTACAAGACTTAGCTCAGAGGATTAAGGATTTTCATTTATTTACATGTTTTCATTTATGTAAAAGAATTCTTGGAACTTACATTCGTATGTGTAGTCCAAAGAAAATGCAAATTACTCTATATTATCTTCCGATAAAGAAGAGGCTTGATAAAGAATCCATAGCATTTCTGAGTTTAGGATTAAAGATAATTGAAGAGGACCTAAACATAAGTTCAGAAAGATAGTACTATAGTAGTCATAAAATCTGGAAACCCGATTATTTTTATTGTCTACATAAATTAGAAAACGCCCAATTATCTAAGTGATTTATTAATGGTCAAAGTCAAAACAATTTTGACTTAAAACTATTTGAAATAGAAATTTATCAACGTAGCGTTCTGGCAACTATTATCAAAGAGATCTACTAGTACTTTGTATATATAAAAATGACAAAGGGTATCCCATTACAATATCATTCCAACCTGTTTTGTGTTTATTTATACAAAAGGCTAGGGTAGATCAAAAAGCAAACATAAATTTTCTTTCGTCGACTTTAATTAAACTAATAGTTATTAAGGAAATTAGGGAGAAAGGAATATACGGATGTGTGCTTTCACTCTCACTTTGTACATAAACACATTTTTGCTGATTATTTTTTTTAAAAAAAGAGAGTTATAAATCACTTTTTAGTTTGATAGTAGTAGTAGTACCCTTCTTCCTACACATGGGTCGCTAGATATAAAATTGGACTACTTGACCAAGTCAACATAATTTTTGCTTTATTAAACGAAATCGTATGATTTTTTTTGTTAGAATGAAATCGCATGATAATATTATACATTAAAGTTTAAAGTTGTAAGTTGTAACACATAAATGAGATGAAGATAGACTTTTTACTATGAAAAATCAATGACAGCAATCTATCATATCTACCTCATTCATACGCCAATCAATTATTTTCGATATTTCTATACGTATTTGGTTAAATATTGAATAGAACATTGATTTTTATTATTCTTTTATATCCCCATATTATACTATAGTATATAAATAAATGTACGTAAAGTTTATTCCATATTTCTATCCAAACTCATTGGTTGAAAAAAAAAACTGATTAAAAAAGAGACCCCATTCTATTATTAAACCAAAATACAATATTAGCACATACATACATCTACATTTAATGTGATCGCAATTTTTTTTTTTTAAATTTTTTTATAAATCAAATTAAAAATCATAATTTCACACACAACAATCACTTGTTAATTACACCTTTCAAACTCCATAATACGTAGTAAGGTGTGAATAGTGTAGAAGAGTCAACAAGTACAACTCAAACAACCTAGTGCCATCTAGTTTGTATAACGGCCAATGGCTTGTGAGTTTGAAACTAGAAGGAGACATCGTCTTGAATGTTCCTCCGAGTAGTGTGGCTCGTCTTGGTTCTCTGAAAACTCTGCATCTTCGAGTCTTGAAAGGATTAAATGGAGCATCAGTTTGACGGCGTCTAACGAGAGAGTCTGTACTCTCAAGAATTCTTTTGGCCAAGAGAGCCGTTTGGTGTGTTGTGAGTGACGGTGAAAAGAAAAGGAAGCTCTTTTTGCAGTTCCCAACTCCGCCACGTTCTAATTCCAGTTTCGAAATCTCCGGTACCCTACCTATTTTATTGTATATATTTCGTCAAATCAATTTAAAAGACTAACAATGTAAATATACGTTATAAATCTACTATATTATATGTATATATAAATAATATACTGATCAAAACAGATATTCGAATTTTTAAAATTAATATTTGTAATTTGTTTCGTTTTAGACGGATAGTAAATTTTACTATTTGATTCGTTTTGTTTCATAACGGATATCCAAAATTTTTGTATCAAACATAGCGAATATAACCGATAATTTGTGCAGCTCTAGTACATAAACACTTTTTGTTTTGTTTTGTTTTAAATAGAGTTATAAATCACTTTTTAGTTTGATAGTTCTTTCTACACATGAGTCGAGAGGTAAAAAATATTGAACCACTTGACCTAATCAGCATAATTTTTGCTTTATCAAACGTAATCATATGATAATAAATTAATAATAAACATCAAAGCTTAAACTTGTAACACGTAAATGAAGATAGACTTTCTGTTATGAAAAATCAATGACAGCAATCTATCACATCTACCTCATTCATACGCCAACGAATTCCATCATTTTCGATATGTCTAGACGTATTTGGTTAAATTATGAATAGAACATTGATTATTCTCTTCTTTTTTATCCCCACATTATACTATAGTATATATAAATAAATGTACGTAAAGTTTATTCTATATTTCTATCCAAACTCATTGATTGAAAAAAGAGACCCCATTCTATTATTAAACCAAACAATAATAGCACATCAAACTAAACACATCTACATTCATGTGATCGCTAGTTTTTAAAATTTTTGTTTATGAGT